TATATAATAATTAAAAAAAAAGATGGTAATTTAAATTGGAATTAAAACCAAATTAAAAAATGAAAGTGTATAGTATTATTGATTTGGACATATTTCTATACTATATGTTGAAATGTAAATGATATATCAAAACCATTTGAATAATCTGACCATTTTTAAAAATTAAATAGTTTTTTTTTGTTATTTAAAAATTGCTTTCTTCATCTCTTAAAGTTTCACATTTGTACCAAAAAAAAAAAAATAAAAAAAAAAAAGAAAAAAAATAAGAAAAAAACAAGACAACGCAATATTATTTTAAATTTAAATAAAATCAACCGCAAACTGGTAAGCAATTTCGAGCACTTCCTTTGTGTACCCGCTTTTGTGGTCAACATGGCGTATACGCCACATTAATTGATTTGACAAACAAATGGTTTTTGTGGCAACGTTTCTTAGAAACTGAAAGATTGCATTTACTTTTTCTTCAAGTTGTTGAATGAAAAATGTATATTTATTAGCTGCAAGGTAAAAGCAGTGTTCAAATATAATAAACATAAATTGTTGTAAAAGTAATGCAATTTAAACAACAAAGAACAAATAAAAATGCATTAAAAATAAATAAAAAAGAAATAGGCAACATTAATTTGTTATTACCTCAAGTTCAGGAAGGCTTTTGTTGTGGCAAAGAAAATTTTTAGTTAATTTTTACTTATTTATTTCTTTTTTTATTTAATTTTATATTGTTCTCCCGGCTCTCGAACTGCACTATTTTTACTGTCATAAATAAACTAAATTATTTGTAATATACTGAATGTATTTTACAAAATAGTGAATTTTTATTTAATTCTCATTCAGTTTGGAAATATATCACGATAAATTTATTTAATGTAACGTAGTAACACTGAAGGTATTGCAGTAATGATTTTAATATATTATATATGTAAAAATAAAGAATTTCAATCCCAATTTTTTTAGGGTTTTTTGATAGTATAGATTCCAGATTTAAGTTATGGTTCGAAGTTTTGACGAACTTCAATTAATGTCAAAATTGAAATGAAGTGTTAATTGATCTTCTTTATAGTTTCAACTGCGTCTTGATATCGATTTAAATCCTAAGATTAATAATGGTCTTTGTTATACTGACCTATTAGTTTTTCTAATTGTTTTTCTAATTGTTATTGTTCTGCTTGCTTTTTTTTTAAATGTCTGTTATTCGATTATGTGTTTATTTATTTTTTTTTTTGGGTTTATAATTACTTTAAAGCTATAATGATAAAGTTATCTATTTATGTACAGAAGAGGTTTTATAGTGAAGAATGTTATGGTACATACATAAATATATCTTCAATTAAGAATATTCTTGGGGTTACAGTAATAAATATTGCCAAATATTAATCATTAATAATCTTTGTTAAAAATAATCAACATAAAAAATACATTTTTTACTTTTTAGCAAGGAAAGTTTAGAAGTTAAAATAAAATTATTTAAAGTATTTATACATAAAGTCGTGGTCGGCATGTTCCTGAACAATTAATATTTTATTATTTAATTAGGTAATTAATAGTTAAATATTTATAAATGATACTTCCTTCGCGACCTTTAATTTCTTATTATTTGCTATAATTCCAAATGCCATGATACAAGTAAAGTCAAAAAGCTGTCATTTACTGAAAACATTTTAAATATTCAGTTAAATTTCTGTTTATAAATAAAATCAATAACTACAATTTGTTATAAAATCCAAGAAAATTTAATATAAACAATATAGAAACAAAAGATTTTGAAGAAAGAAAACCCACAAATGTTTTTATTGCAAAATGTTAAAGTCAATGAAGCATAGATGTTTTTCTGTTTAAATATCGCGTGAGTTTTCCAATTTTTATCAAAATTATATATTTTCTTTAATATATTGAAAAAAAAATATACAGACTATAATTTCAATTGAAACCCGAAATAAAGAATACAAAACTACGATATTTTGAACACACGATATCAACTGCAAATATGACTTGAGTGCTTCACTACTTTTTAAGTCCTTTTCTACCACAAAAAAAAAAAAAATTAAAAAAAAAATGAAAAATAAAAAGGATACAGTATTGAAATCTCAAAAAATAAAAATAAATATTTTTTCAATGTCAATGCAGTCATCACTTGTAAACGTCATGTTAATTTCAAAATTTTGAAAGCGAAAACGCGGGCTTTTATGCTACAATTCTTCCCCCTATGGGGAAATACAAATGAATGTTTATGTATTGAGCTTAGCGAAGAAAAAAAAAATGGTTTTAAAGAAAGTTATAAATCCATTTGTATAGAATATTTAAAGTAAATAAAAATATCTGCAATAAAAATTTGAAGAAAATTTGTTTGCTTTTTCTATTTGGAAAAAGGGGGAGAAAACCCCCCGTCCACAGGAAATTGTAGAGTTTGCTTCTTTTAAGCAGAAACAGAAATTTTCTCCCTACTTTCTTATTACTGTTATTGTAATGGATTCACTATTATTCATGTCATCTTTTATGTCAGTGCCTGTAGTTATAGTTATCCTCCCACTTATATTTCATTTATCCCAACACTTTTACATGACCCAGCATTTATGTAAATGGCACTATGAGTACCGAGGAGGTTGGGTTGTCTGGCATGAAAATTAAATTTATTAGACCTTTTATAATCGTTTTTGTAAGGATCCTTAGCTTTATACGAAGCAATTTGAAAATTGAATTTTGAATTGAATTGGAATTTGTAAAATTCCATGAGTAATATTAGTTGTAGTAGCATATTGTACGCATTTATAATTTAATAATAACTGGTGAGGTGAATAATCTTTTTAATTTAAGAAATTATACAAATTTTCTATTACTATTTTGATATATAAAATTTGAATATTTAATTGAACAGCTTTTTTAACTCTTTCTAGTAGGAATTTATAAACGTTAGGTAGTCCCTATTTGTAAACAACAATTGAATTATTAAGAAAAACAATTATTATTAAAAATTATTTTTAATAGCAAAGACGATTATAATTATTTACATCTTCAAATTAATTTTACTTTATAATAAGTAGCGAATTAGAAATTTTTCATACCTAAATGATAAGAGAGTTTAAAATGGGTTTCATAAACGCAAGGATCCACTACTTTGTTAAGTCTTCCCTTTAGTACAATATTTCAATCATAAGCGTTTTTTTTCTATCAATAGAGTCTATTTTTTTAACCACTCTTACTAAATAACTCCATTTACATTATGGTTTGCATTTCTTCTATTTTCTTGCAGATTTCATTCAAATTTCTGTTGGCAAATTTCATGAAATAACTTTCTTCTAGTATATATAGTCCAGCTCTATTAGTGGTTGGTGATTATGTGAGATATCAACCAAAATGATATCACATCGGATTACGTACATCAACAAAACCTAATCTTCAGTTTCTACTTTCTTTTCGTTCTTTTTAAACTTCATATTTCGTGCGAATTTAAACTTATGTAGTAGAGACAAAGGTCAAAGCTACTGCGAAATATAGAAGCTTTGACGATGATAATGACAAATAAACGTTAAAGGTTTTAAAAGTTAGACTGATTCGAATAGCAGAGAAAAGACAAAGACAAAAATTTTAGTTAATTTATTGAAATTTGGCTTACCATACAACGCTGTAAGAGTAAGAGAATTGTCAAGTACTCATCATCAGTAGTCTTAGGAAATATTCATTATATTCAAAACATATAAATGTTGCAAATATTAATAAGTTTAAAGTCCGTTTATAATTTGTTTGGACTGCAAGTGCCAGGCTTAGAACTCGTGCCTGCCAAAGTAAGTTTTCTTCAAAATCAAAGTTATAAACAATAAATACGAAGGGTTTACAGCGTAGGTAATTTAAGAAAATAGATTTTTTTATTCCAAATAAACTTAATCGTCATACATATAGTACAAATAAATTGTTAAATGTCTTTTCAATTAAACATATAACTAAATTTATTCAAATAGTTTTCCATCACATGAGTGAAAAGCTACTTATGTTGCCTTCAGTCTTGAAGGATGCTATTGAAGCATTGCTTCAGAAATATAAAAGACTTTAGACTTTACATGTTTACACATGAACCTACATTGGATGTGGTTGAGAACAGACATCTAACACATTTGAACACAGACATACTGATACATTTTGTTAAATAATTTCAGTAAAAGTTGACAAAAACTGTAGTTTCTGGTTTTACAGATGCAGAAGCAGTGATAGTGTGGTTGCTTTGAAATAAAGTCGAAAGTTTTCAAAGTTAACTGCAATATTTTGTTGACACAATAATATTTTTAAGAGCTGACAAGTAGTTGTGGTTGTTTTGATAATTTATGGACAACATATGAGTACAAGGACTATACTCGGACTACTCTACATCGGTGACTAGAGT